GGGGACCAAGGAAGTTTGTAGCCACATGTGTCTGTTGGATTTCAGTAGGGCAGATTCTAATAAACTCAGGGGCATGATGAGAATCATTCCATGGGCAAGACTGCTGGAAGGGAAGGGAGCAAGTGAAGGGTGGGCTCTCTTAAAACAAGAGCTCTTGCAAGCTCAAGCCATCGCTGTTCCAACAAGAAAGAAACATGGTAGGAGATCCAAAAAGCCAATGTGGATGAACTGAGCACCGTGTGATGTGCTAAGGGAGAAAAAGGAAATGTTCAAGAAATGGAGGCAAGGACATACCTCTTAAAAAGAGTATATATGGGTTGCTAGGCACTGTAGGTCACTCATCAGAGAGGCCAAAGCTCACAGTGAAGTAAAGCTGGCCAGGGAGGCTCACGACAACAAGAACCTCTTCTTCAGACATATGAGGAACAAACACAAGATAACAGAGGCAATGGGATCACTGTTGAGTAAAAATGGAGAAACTCTGACAGAGGACAGAAAGGCTTTTTTAAAAAATAACTTTTATTTATATAATATAACAACGATTTACAGTGGCACATACTATTATGAAATCACTACAATAAAAACATAATTAAAAACACAAAAGAACCCACAAGAGCAATAAAACCAAACAGCTATTCAGTATATAGCTATAACCTTCAAATTATCGCAAAGTGCCTTTTTAAGCTTACTATGTCCTTCCATATATTCAAGAAAGGAAAACCAACGTTCCAAAAAAATCTGAGTGAAACTCTGGATTCTCTGTGAAGGATATAACTTCTGATATTTTGTCCATGACCTCATCCAACAAATTGCCGGGCCATCAGAACCTGGTGGTCTGACCATGGCACTGCCTTTGCAGTGATCCGGTCCACCATCACCCCAGCCACGAAGATCAGATCGAGCGTGTGACCGGCCCGATGTGTGGGCCATAACAAGTTGAGAGCATCCCAGTGCCGCCATGGACGATACTAGGTCCATAGCCTGTGCAGCATGCGGAGAGGTTGGCTGGGTGGCTGTCACCTGCTGGGCCTGGTGGGAGGGGGGGCACGGTGTGTGCCTGACCGCCCCTTTTGAGGAGGCTCAGCCCAGCCTTTTGGATGGGATTCGGAGGCCGCTGAGCAGCCCCAGGAGAGCTGGAGCTGGGCCCCTGCTGCTGCTGCCGCCACTGCCCAGCCCCTCCACAGGCCGGGGTCCCTGTTCTGGTCAGCTTCAGGGGTAGCAGCAGGGCTGCTCCAGAGGAGCCCAGCTGGGGTCGGGCACAGGAGCTCCGGGGCCCTGGAGGTGCGGGCGGTGGAGAGTCAAAGCCCCCTCCTCACTAGCTGACTGGAGGAAGGGGTGAGCAAGTTGCCTCAGGGGCCGGTGGCTTTGCTGGGACTGTCCCAGAATTGCCTTGGTTTTAAAAGGGGGGGAGAGAAAAAGGAGGTCTGCTTTCCCCACCCTCAAAAAAACCCACATCAGGCTCTTTCTAGCGTTCCTGCCTTCGGTGCGGCTCCCTGGCCCTCTTCGCCTGCCTTGTGAGCTGCCGAGGTCCTTCAGGGAGGGGAAGCAACTGTCTTCTGAGGGAATCTGTGGCTGGCAGTGGGTCTGTGGGCGGGACTCAGGGAACACAACCAATGCATAGGGACAGCTTCTGATTGGCAGTGCAGGCACCCAACTGATTTTGGCGCACATAGAACTTTGCCACCCCAAAATGGGATTATTATATAGGAGAGATTCTTCTTCACAAAAAAGGCCTTCTTTATCCCTGCAGTAGTCAAGGAAAGGTTGTCACCCAGCTTTGGTACGGTTCCCAGCTCTTTATTTATAAAGAAAGGCATCTACTGGAAGCAGTACAATCTAAGTTCCTATGAACGATCTTTGGAGTCCTGCAATATATTCTGAATCCCCTTCTCTGACTCGAGGCACGTATGTGGCTTGGAGGCACATATGTGGCTACTCACATATATCTACTGGCTAAAACCCATCTTCAGTCCAGTGGGTCTAGTACCCTTGATCTTTGTTGACAGCCACCACTCAACCTGGCTAAGAGCAGTTGAAGGGAAACTCTAGGAACATGGCCTTTCTCCCCAAGTTTTACTGCATCCTGAGTATCAAAAAGCAAAAGAAACAATTAAACAGCAGTTCAGGGATCATGCCGTACAATCAGACAGGGCTCAGCTACAGAGATATGCAGTTATTGTGCAACATGCTAAATGTTTTCAACCAGCAGATTATCTTAGAACCCTAGAGATCTCCAAATATCTGAGAACTTTTACCCTGGTACATTTTAATGCTTCAGCCCTTCTAGAAGGAAGATACCATCATGTCCCACTCTGTGACGGATAGCCGTTAAAACAGGCTTCAAAGTGCTGCACTATCAGAGTACTGGGAGGTGAAGAGTTAAATCTCAAGAATGGAGAGCTTTGAGTGACAGGCTATGCCAAGCACTCTGATTGGCCAGTTCCAGCTAAGGGCATAATTTTTAATTAGCTGGGTGCTGAGGTGGAATTGGCATTCTGACAGATTCCTGATTTGAGAGGAGAGATGATTCTGTACCTTAACTGCTGAAAATCTGCTCTGAGGAAGAATTCAGTTGAAAAACTGAAAGCATCTGAGTCTCAGCCTATGCTGAAATCAGTTTTACACAGACACAAGAACTGGGAATGAGATCCGGCAAGGTTGCTGGGTAGTGAGATGAGATTCAGGCCAAAGGAAAGGGGATACATCTTCTGGGAAATAAGAAGGCCGAGTTCAAACTGGCAGTTTGCCCCGATATACACATGTTTCAGAAACATTCCACAACCGGATTAAATGGGCCATTCACATGGGCACATCTGTCAGGCGTTCCCCACCCTTACTCAACCCGTCTTGTAACGCTTCACTCCTGAGTTTAAAAGATACCTGGTGAAAGTGGTAGCAAACCCTGGAAAACGCGATTATCCCAGGTCCATCCCACACCAACAAAGTGTGAATGCCAAAAGCCGCATTTTTTGTGTGTGCTTATGCGCTCATGCGCATATCTCCAGATTACAAAAAAAGAAAGCCGCACCTTACAGCCTTGCCTCTGGACCAACAGTGTGAATGCTCCCTTGCGCCTCCTCCCGGTATGCTCCCGCATAGGTCACTGCAGTGTGAACAGGAAAACCCAGAACAGTTTGTTCCTGCTCTTTTTTGCCACGACTCCCTCTCACTTCAAACTGCCAGTCTGAACTCAGCCGAAGAATCCATGCCCAGTTAAACAGGGAGAGTTATCTCTGGGCGGAGGAGATCCCTGGTCTGTTGTGAAAGGAAACTGCTTAAGACACCTCAAGAGCTAGATATAAATTAGGGGTTAAGAGGAAGGGAGTTAGGTACTGAAAGAAGGTACCAGCCTAAAGGAAATAAGAAGAGAAATAGGAAACTCTATTAAGAAGCATTGTGGTGCTTGGGAAACACAGGGGGAAAGCTAACTAAGAAAATAATAAAATAAGAAAAAAGAGAATAATAAAACAAAACAAAATAAAAATAATCTTCAATAACTGTCATTTGCTTGTATAAATAGGTTGGTAACCCTATTAAAGAGACACAACATTTTTCTCCAGAATTATTGGCAACCCTAGTTTTGCATCTATATTCCTCTCATGTCATGGTTATTCAAGATCATTAAGATTTGGCTGACTTGTTTAAAGCATGGAATCACTTGAACTTTATCATGTTTCTGCCCACATAGTCAGTTGCATCCTTTAAATGAACAACACTGGATAGATTGCATCCCTTTCTTTTTGTGCCTGCACAGTCAGTGGAAACGATCAAGAATTGGTTGTAAGAACTAATTGCCATGGGTAGACACTGAAGGCACACAGTAACATTAAGTAGCAAGTCTCAGCATGAAAACCTTAAACATTTTTTTTTATTTTTTAAAATAGGATGCAGATGGGTGGGGGGACATCAGCCTCAGGAAAGTTTAATTGTGTGAGAAAACAGTGTAATTGCATGAATTAGAATAATTGGCTCCTTGTTCACAACTAACAAGTAATGTGCTAAACTGGTAGCTGGTTGGACATAATTCGTTACACTTGACGAGCAGGCAAAACACAATCACAGCTGACAGGGGGGATCAGCTGGGAGTGGCTTTTATCCATCTACTCCCAGCAAAATAGCAATATGGTGAAGTTACAAAAATGGACCTCTTGCTTTGCCTCTTAACTGGGTGGGGCACATGTAATGCTTTGCTGCACTGCAAAAGTTAGTATGGGGGGGGAAGCCTATTTATCTTTCCCCTCTGTTAAATACTGGGTTCCATGGATAGTTTGACCCCAAGCCTAGTGATCAGCTCTGTTTTATTAGTGATTCAGCAAGAACAAGGCAAAGACAAAAGACAAGGATTTAGTCGCTGAAAAGTGACATCTATGTGGCTCAGAAGTACTTAAAGGACATTTTAATTAGGTGAAATTGTTCCTGCATTAATTTGTATACATTCATAATTTAGCACATTACTTTGTGGTACGAATGTACATTCTTGTTATGCAAACCATTGCATTCTGCAACTGTGTTTCTTTGTTAATATGAAAGGTTTTCTGTTTGTTTCTGTTCTTAAATAAACACTTTATGTCAGGAATGGGAATGTCAGTCTTCCCGGTTAGTTAGTATAGTGTAGCATCCTTGTTGGCTACTTGCACTAAATGGGCTGTGTTACAAAGAGTTCTCAAAATGGATCTGATTTCCTCCAGGGTGCCAACAGACAGGTTCCTTATTATGCTTTTATTTCTTTTTCAGTTCCAGTGACAAGGTCCCTCCCTTCCCCCTCCCCCCAATCCTACACTGAAATGTAATAACTAGAGGAGCTGGCAGAATTTCAGATAGTAACGAATCTGCAGTGCTGTTAAAGTAACTAAAAAAAGATGTAGAAGGAAAACCCAGAGACACTTGAAAGAAAATCAAACACTCTTTAGAGATTCATAAAACAACAAAACGGTAAACATGTCTCTTTCTTCCCTGACAGGCCAAAGTAGTGCTTTAAGATGTTGTGTCTGTTGCCCTAGGTGTGCAGAAGGCTATTTTGGACAACCTTTAATACCAGGGTCATCGTGCCAGCCCTGCCAATGCAATGACAACCTCGACTTCTCCATTCCTGGCAGCTGTGACAGCTTGTCTGGAGCTTGTCTGATATGTAAGCCAGGTACAACAGGCCAATACTGTGAGAAGTGCACGGATGGGTATTTCGGAGATGCTCTCGATGCAAAGAACTGTCAACGTAAGTCCTGGAGCCTTGCTTCTCCTGTCAGGAAGCATTCATTCCCTATGGGCATGGCTCACGAATGTCTGTCAAATAGGACATGCGCTGATTTGCATAGTATTACATGAAGTAAAAGGCACATTATCCAGACGCTGGTGGTTTCAGGATTCCTGACTCAATATGTCAGTGTTGGTTGAGTCACTGCATTATTTTAAATAATCAGCCCCTTTCTTTTCATCAGAATGTCTAAATGTGCCTATAGTTTGAATGTCTCCCAGACTGTACAGATAAATCTGAATGTGCTATAAGTTTATATACACATATAAGTATAGTAAATTAGTATGTATCTAATTGCATCCAGATGTTTTGGGGCCTCAGAAGAAACATTTTTATTGCCCTAACAACCTATTATTGCCTGTATCCTTGGTTTGTGCTCTTTTCATTCTGGATGCTCATTTTTATTTTGAAAAGGGCTTTCCCTCCATGTGTCTTGGATGTACATATTTATTTACTACATGGGGAAGGTGAAGGACAATCAGAGACAAGATGTTGTGGTATGTGTATTAAATTTCATAGACACACAACCCCCAACCAAATTTTCTTTTTTAAACAAATGGCTTTTCCCTCACACTCAGAGGTCCAACTGATAGGTGCATTTGGGAAGTGATTTTTCACTCAGGTAAAATTAGCAGAATTTCCGAGCTTTCGTTATAGTCTTGTGTTTTACCTTTTCTGTACTGCATGACTGGGCTTATTGTATGATTCATCTGGAGTTATTTGCTCATAATATTCCTTTCTGTCATTCACCCACTCTCTGTTGTTGATAGGTAAATAAGGTGGAACATGTGAATGAGTGGTCTTGTCTTGGGTTTCCTGGTTCTTTTTGCCTTCTATCTATCTGTCAAGACCTGTATCTGCATTAGTCTCTATTCAAGCTGTTTATTATGGGGGGGGGGGCATTGGTAAGAATCTCTGAAAAGGCAGACTAGGCCCAGAAATCTGTACTGAAAAGGCTAAGAATGGCAGCCCCATGTTATTGTTCTTTCTTTCCATCTGTAACATCAAGAACCAGCACTCTGAATTGTGCCTGGAAACAAATGGGTACCCAGTGGAGCTCTTTCAGCATCAAAGTGATATGATCCCTGTATTCAGCCCCTATAAGTTGCCTGGCTGCTGCATTTTGGACTAAGTGAAATTTCCAAACTATTTTCAAAGGCAACCCCATGTATACAGCATTACAGTAATCTAACCTGGGTGTAATCAAAATAAGGATCACTGTGGCCATAGCAGGTGAGTCAGCCAAAGCTAGTTAAAGGCCCTATGGGCCATGGAGGAGTCCTGAGCTTCCAACCATAGACCCACCAACACCCCCTCCTTCAAGAGTAGTGCAGTCCCCTCAAGGACAGGCTGTCTTTGCAGACCTTGAGCAGCTTCTCCATTGTCCAACGATACCTCAGTCTTGTCTGGATTTAGCGTCAGTTTATTGGCCCTCCCATTGCATGCCTAGAACCATCCACAGACCCACCTGACTCAGCATGTTGATGGTGCTTTTATCTACAAAATAAATTGTTAAAAAATTATAGCGGGCCAATGTGTTTTCCCGCTCTACTTTCTATGGGGGGCAAAATAAAAGCCTCCACCACCCCCCAGTGCAGAAAATCTCCTCTGGATACTGTGCAACTGCAACAGCAGTGGAGCTCACTTCACCACCATCACAGAGTAGGTATGGTAATGTGCTCTCCCCTGTGTTCAGTCGCATTCACTTTGAGTTTTCCTTCTCTTATGCCCCAGCCATCTGCCAAACTGCTCTATCACGCCAAGGTCCTCAGGAAACCTAGCCATGCAAATAAACCTTAGACATGAAAAAGACTTTTGTTTAATAGAAAACAAAAATGTCAGTAAGTAACATGTACAATAGCTATGAAATGGTGAACAGCTTGCCTAAGCTTTGGTTACAGGGGGGAAAATCCCCCTGGGCAAGTGGAGAATAGGGAAGGCAAGGAAGAGAAGTAGCAAGCCTTTAAGAGGTCCCTAGTTCATTTATAGATGTCTTAGTCCAAACCTTGAATCTAGTCCGTATACTCAGACTTCCTGTGGGAGGGCACTGCTTGACATTCACAGAAGTTGTTTTGCTGAACAGCTTTGGGAAATGCAGGCTTTAATGCCTGGGGGGAGGATTTTATGATTTTTCAGAAGTCCCTGACTCTTAGGAGAAGCTGGTTATAGTTTCCCTCTGGAATAGGGCAAGAGCCAGTCTTCAGTGCTGAATTTCTTCCAAAAGAGAACAATAAAGATTCTTCATAAAGTACATGACTTGGAGCCCAAATGCCAGGGAAGCTGTTGTGTGTGCCTAAGAAGGTCACTCCATGAAAAAAGAGTATAGGGGATTGGGAAACTTGGGGGAAATTAGGAAAAAATAATGAAGTATCTGTGGCATCCATGTCCACATGCATTGCAGTTCCAAATCAGAAACAGCATTCAATTGATTAATAGCATAATGTAATGTACTGTTGTAGGGCATTTTGATTTACTCTTTAACATTTCATTGTCAAAGCAACAGGTTTGAAAATTCAAACTAAGAATGGAATTGCGGCTCCTGACATTGTGCCACTCTCCTTGAGTCACTGACATGCCTGAAGCTCTAAACATTTTCCCAACAGAGACAGCAGCATGGAAGACCGTATCAGGAGTTACAATTTTTAAAACACACAATTTAAAAAGAAGAGATACATTTTTATACTTAACGTTCTTTGCTTTTTTTGTTAGCTGTGTTGATAGTAGAAATTCTCAATATAGTCATGTCTTTGTGTTCGCAGTTACCCTTCTTCTTCTTCTTTTTTTTGCCCTATTACATCTAGATTTCCTTTTTTGCATATTTCTTGGGCAGGCTTCCATGGAGTTTGCCCTGAAGCAGTAAAATCAGAGGGACTGCCTTTACTTTGTTGTTTTCAATTTTTACTGTTCATTAAAGAATCAAATTTGAGCTAGGAAACTTGCAAACGGGAGTCTTGCGCTCAAATTATATTTGGAAATCATTTTCTTTTTTTCTTTTCCCCTTTACCAGTAGTGGCAGTGCCATTTGCATTAGCCAATTCAGATGACAGCCGGGCTTTGTTGCTGTTGCCGCCTTCCAGAATTCCTGCATTCTTCTTCTTAAACATTCTGAAACAAATATGGTGAAACAAATATCCAGGATCTATTTCACTTATATTTCAGATTTGTTTTTTATTATGGAAACATCACAGTTTTGTACTGCATATAGCTGAAGGTTATTCTTCAAGGCAGGTTAGGAGAGGGAATTAAAGTAAACCCCTAATTTTTGTTACTATATGATCATCAGCACAGTTTAGAACATTCCATTTCTCAGCTATTAGTGTTGTAACGGCTATTGATTATTTATATCTCACTACAAGTATACAGAAGAAAATAAATGCCATACACCATGCCTAGAGGTTGTAGCAGAGATGAACAGCTGCTTTTTAGGACCAGAGCAGTTATGATTTTTCCTTTAAATAGCAGCTGTATGGGGGTATGATGGACCCCTGCTCCTTCTGTTCTATGAGGCAAATTTTCACAACAAAACACTGTTCACCACTCTGACTGAGCAGCCTCTTAGTAGCGTGTTTGAATTATAAACTTATAACGTTCTTTGTGTCCCACCCTGTGTTAAATGAGTTATTTAGCTTTTTCTCAGGCCAGAGATTTTTACTGTAACTCAATAGGAGCCCTCTTATAAAACTCCTTTGGAAATGGTTCTTGACATGAAATAAAGTTGAAACAAAAAAGTGACTTGTCTGCTTCCCTCAGATTGACACACACACACACTCCTCCTGACTGGCAACTGCCAAGTCAAAATCCAAATGATGACTGACTCTTCTCTTCTCAGCTGGTGCTGACCAATCAGAGAGAAGAGCAGGGCTATTTTTGGGCAGGAATGCACAGGAACGGAGTTCTGGCTGGTTCCTGCGTTGGCCAAACCCAGCAGGAACTCATTAGCATAATAGGCCACACCCAACAGCACAAACTCATTAGAATTGGCTACATTAGGGGTGTGTGGCCTAACATGCAAAGGAGTTCCTGCTACAAAAAAAGCCCTGGGTTTTGACAATAACGTAAACAGAATAAGAAGAAAAAGGTGGGTGTGGCTGGATGACCACACTTCTGGTAACATGGGGGTGCAGCCTAATATGCTAATAGGCTGTGCTGTCAAGCTTGTAGCCTAATATGCTAATGAGTGTCTGCTGTTGGGTGTGGCCTATTATGCTAATGAGTTCCTGCTGGGCTTTTTCTACAAAAAAAGCCCTGAAGAGGATGCAAGCAGGCAGCAGCCTGTCACTCAAACTGCTTTTCAGTGAGGCATTAACCCCTAATCTCCCAGCTCTCTGAGTTTTATGCACTAAGCATCTTGGTTTTTGAGGTCAGTTCATCACGGGGGACCGCGTGGGATCAGGACTGTGGTGTGAAGAGAGCAGATTTAAGTTCTGCCATACCACATCTCTTTCTTGGCCTGAAGAGCTGCTGCACCACCACCTCCTCCTCCTTCTCTAGAAGCTTGGTGTTATTGCTAGGAGTGCTTTCTATTACCTGCATGTAGCCATTTTTTAACCTTTTTGGACTAGCTGATCTGGCCACACTGATCCATTTCAGGAGAGTAGATAACTGTAATGTGTTCTACCCCAATATGCCCCATCCCCTGAAGATGATTTGGTAGCTGTAATCAATACAGAATGCAGCAGTATCACTATTTACAGTTGTTAGTTGGACTACCCAAATGGCAGTAGTATTACAGTAGCTGCACTAGCTGTTTGTTTCAGGATCCTATTCAATTGCTGGTTTTGACCTTTAAAGCACTTTACCTCCTGGGTCCCATGTACAGTCTGAGCCTGAACGGATGTTGAAATCCTCACAACAAGGGATCAATGATGAGAAGACTCGATGTATCTAAGCTAGTTGGAGGATCTCCTCTCTTAAGACAAAAATGTTTCTGTAGTGTCTCTGTTCTTATTGGAATGGTCGACCAGTTAGAATAAGGGCTGCCTCTTCTATCATCCAGTTTAGGCAGCAGTGTAAGACTGTACTGTTTAGATGGGGTTTGTCCTTACTTGCTTTTAGTAATATTTAATTATATTAACATTGTAGTACGTCAAGTTTCTAGTCTATTTTAATTTTTTCTTTGTTTTATTGCAAAATGGTTTGAGCAGCAAGGAAAAAAATAAAACCAGAATTATTGCCATAGTGCAATGTCACTTCCAAAAAATAATTGAAAGGAACATCACGGTGTTGGTGTGACACTCTAGGATTCACCCAAAACTCTATGATGAAAGCTAGATCATCACACCAATGCTGTGACATCACTTCCAGTTATTTGCTGGAAGTGATCTTGTACCTTGGACTGATATCATGTCCCTGCACTTCTTCCTATCCTAGAATAAGATGAAGATAAAAATTTAAACAAAAAAGGTATAAGCTGAGATAGCATGCTATAGAAAGGATTGGTTTAGGTTTAGCCTATGTCATCTTTTGCTCAGAGTTACTAGCTTTGGATTTTCATAATAAGTATTCATATGTATAACTTAAGAGTTCCTTTTATTCAACATATATTTCATGTCCTCCAAAAATGCATGAATTATGAACCTGTCTTGGTTTCTCTGTAGCTTGCCGCTGTAATATCAATGGCTCATTCTCAGAAATCTGCAATATGCAGACTGGACAGTGTGATTGCAAGCCCAACATTGTAGGGCGTCGATGTGATGCGTGTAAGGTAAGCCATAAGAAGCAGATCTAGCCTAGATGATCCCCCTTCCTGTTTGTTATAATGGAATATGTTCTGATTCAGATGAAACTTCATGCATAATTTCAAACATAGAACAAAGGATGCTAATCTCTCTCTCTCTCTCTCTCTCTCTCTCTCTCTCTCTCTCTCTCTCTCTCTCTCTCTCAGCATTTGAGTGCTAAATAGAACATGATATATTCAGTGCACAGAACTTGTCCACTTTGGGGGGGGGAATTTAAGTCAAGCAAAATAAATATACCGTGAATATTTACTACGTATGAAAGAATGTGTATTTAAGATCTGTGAAAGAGAAATGTTGACAGAATGACTGACTGGCCAAAAAAAACCCCAAAATGTTTTGAGCACTTGCCTTTCTATTATGTGAAAGAGTTTTCTTTGTCATCTTTCAATGTCATGGGTTGTAAATTAAATATTCCACCCTAGTATTTTGACATATATGTAATTCTAGTTTGCAATCCTTTGCTTGTTCATTGTGGAGTGATCACCACTGAAATCATATTTGTTTATGAGCAACCATGCTTAACTATGAGCTGTCTGAATGGTTTTACTCTTGTCTGTGGGCAAAAGTCACTAAAAATATCTGCTATATCAACTCCATTACTGTCTAAACCCTATCCAAATTCAATGAAGGTTATGTACAAAAAATGTCCAGATACAGAATTTGGTAAAGCTTCTGCCTTATACTTCCCCCTCTTTTTGAGAACTCTGTTACAACTAATATGAGCTTCTGAGTGAAAGTGTAGTCACTCAGTGATTTCACAAGATCTCATGCTGTGGTAATCTGCTTCTATATGCAGCATTGCTGCTAATGTTTTTCATTCTCTGAGCACTCTAGATACATGTAAGCTAGTATGAAGTAGTGGATGGAATATCAGATGACATGTGCAGAGATCCAGATTCAGATCTCTTCTCTGTCATGGATGGTTATGGGGTAATCATTATTGAAGAGCTCCCCTCCCCAACTTACCTTGGAATCAGACTCAGAAAACTGAGGTGTCAGCACATGGTCAGGGTCATCCGGAACCCAGTTCTGAAGATTCCATGATATTCTCAGGAACATCATAGGGGGTTCTCTGTGCAGCCCATGAGGATTCTCTGTGTTATCCAACTCCTTTCCAATTGTATTCACTGCTACTGTGACACACAGTGGCAATACTGTGGCAGTAGGCCAGATGGCAATTTAGCATGAGATAATATTTTCCTTCCTTTCCCCTGCTTCCTTTCTGAGGGTCTCAGAAATATAGATTGTAATTTGAAGGCCACTTTCCTGGGAGTAAACTCCATTGAATAATGAGAGATTCATTTCCACTTAGAGCTGCTTAGGATTGCTCCCACAGTGTTTCTGCAGTGTCGGAAATAGAATTTCCTGGATGCCTGTTATTAGAGGACTACATTTCACAGAGTGCAATGGTAACCTTCAGCATTGTACATGTGAGGGCTCAGGAAGGAGCACAAGAAAGGAAGATGTGAGGCAGAAGAAACCTTCCTTCTTGACCACCCGCGCACCCAATCTCCAAGTGGAGACTGGGAGTGAAGAAGGAGGGGAAAGGGCATGAAGAATTTTCTTTTTTCTTGGTTAGCTATCCCATTGCCTATCACTGTAGCTGCAGCAAGAGGAGAAAATTTGAAACTGTGATGTTCCCTTTATTTTGAAGGTAGCATTATGAGGTTTTACTCTGATCTGAACCAAGAAATCTTGATTTTTTTTTAAGCAATAAAGGCTGACTTTGTCAGGATAAATTCTTACAAATGTCACTCAGTTAATACTATTAGCATTTTCATGTTTTGTGGTAACTCTTTTCTCAGATGCAAGTATGTTAATTAGGGTTGCCAAGTCCATTTTAGCCCCCAGTGGGGGACTTTGGGGAGCGTTCCCGGAGGGGGTGGGGCATCCCCGATGTGATGACGTCACGTTGGGGACATCCGCCCCACCTGCCTGCCCGCTGGAAGGTTTCGCACACCCAGTCTCCACTTGGAGATTGGGTGCGCGGGAAACACCAGTTCCCTGCACTTAAAGTGATTGCGGGTGTGGTGGGAGAAGGGTGGTTGCAGGTGTTGGGGCTTGGGGGTGGGGCTTCCCCATCAGCCAGCTGGCCGGCAGCGGGTAGTACCCCCCAAAAAGCGGGAGACCCCTGCCAAACCAGGGGGCTTGGCAACCCTAACGTTAATGTAACTGGAACATTATAAACTGTAATTCAGAACAAAGCTTACGCTATTGGGTACTATGGTTGCCAGCTCTGGGTTGGGGGTGGAGCCTGAGAAGGACGGGGTTTGGAGAGGGGAGGGAATTAAATAGGGTATAATGCCATAGAGTCCACCTTCCAAAGTGGCCATTTTCTTGAACTGATCTCTGTGTCCTGAAGATCAGTTGTAATCCCAGGAAATCTCCAGTCAGCACCTGGAGGTTGGCAACCCTATTGGGCACCCATGGACAAATAAATACATTGAAGTTGTAAAACAAACACCTTTTCCATCCCTCTAGCATGTCATAGCTTCAATCCATGGAATACACTGGTTCATAAGGAAGTTGCTTCAAAGTCTGTTCTTTTATTTCAAGACCAATTACAGTTAGATATTCCCCTGCTTAACACCTGGGTCTCTTTCTTGGCTTAAGCCTTGAAAGCAGTAACCTAGCTCCCAGTCACTCTCCTCCTGAGTCAGGCTCCTCTATTCTTTCAGTGTTTCCCACACTGGATTTTTGTAGCGTGGGCCCCTTCTTTCACTTTGTTGCCTTTGGATGTGCTCTTCTACTCCTCTCCCCATATCCCTCAGTCCCAATTGCTCTTTATTTCCACCCTTACCTTGCTTCCATTCCCTTCCATACAGCCTTCTCCCTTCCTCCCATACAGCTTCACTGTCCACGCCCCATCAGTTCCCGTCTAACCCAGTTTAACCCCATTCTTCTCCAGTCATGCCTCTCCCACTGGCAGCAGAGGGCCTGCTGCTCAGCCATTCAGTTCAAGACCAGGAGATGCCCATTCATCACTGTAGGTCAGCTGACAATCAAACTTCCCCTCACTACTGGTGCCACCAGAACCTTGCTCTTCCAGGACCACTGATTGGTGATGTTTTTGGTCTGAGATAGACATGCAGGGGTGAGGTTCTTACAGGCAGCCCAGGCCAGTCCTCACACATTGTTTTTATATATATATTACCTTTGGACTCTATGTGCATTTTAATTTCATATTCTTATTAGCCTGATATGCTTTCTCAGCCTTTCCCCCCCTGCATTTATTCTATTACTCTATACCTTGGTTTTCTAACACATTACTTTTCTTTCTCTTCAAAAGACCAACTACTTTTGGGCTACAGAAAAGCAGTTCTGCATACCATGTGGCTGCAGTCCTCTAGGATCTATGTCACTGCACTGTGATGTGTCAGGGAGATGTATCTGTAAATCAGGATTTGCGGGTAAACGATGTGAACTGAGCAGGCAGGTGTATATACGGAAAGAGAACCCATCAGCCACCCAGCAAATCCAAGGCCCTCCTCCAAGAAGGGGTTTCATAAGTGCAAGTGGGTGCCCACGGGGTGCTTTCAGACCTGCTACTTTGGTAATCAAAAAGACCATGTACAGCATGCTCTGTATTCCAGCATGTGGTTGTGCTGTGTTGTAATGCTTTAACAATATAACAGAAAGCAATAAAGTATCATTTAAATGTTTTGTCAACTGTCACAACATTGCCTACTACAATGTGTAGCATGTTCAGAAACATGAACAGTGGCTGAGATTGCAGTTCTTTCTACACTTATTTAGGAATATGTCTTAGACACTATTTAATAGGGCTTCCAGTTTGTTTGGGGTTTTTTTACTGGCATATATATATATGCATTGCAGCCATAATAGCCCAGACTAGCCTCATCTTGTCAGTGCTTGGAAGCTAAGCAGGGTTGGTACTTGGACAGTACTTCCCCCCAAGGAAGACTGGGGCTCTATGCAAAGGAGGGCAATGGCAAAGCACCTCTTATCATCTCTTGCCTTGAAAACCCCTGAGGTGGAACTTTATGGGATTGACGTGAGTCAGTTGTGATTCAATGGCACATTTTACCTTTATATAGCCATCAATTTGTTATGAATTTAGAAGTAGTCAGCTTAATGAAATTCCCCATTACCTTTGGCAATAACCATAAAAAAGAGAGAAATGATAAGCAATGCAACAAGGACTGACAATTCACCTCAGTGTGGGAGTATATCTGCTTATGTAAAGGATTAAGTACACAGATTGTCTTCATCCGTTGACTTAAATTGGGGAAGTCCTTGCGGTAAAGAAAGTGTTGCGCCCATAATTACTTGATGGCTCAAGCATGTATATACATAGCAGGGCTACTACAATGTGGGTGTGCATTAGGGAATTATTATTATGCCATATATTGTAAGGTCACTGTTTTATATATCTTGAGAACCAGTCTCGTGGTCCTACACAAATCAGTGCAGAGTTTTAATAACTAAGTCTACCTTAGAGTTAAACTGCCACCAGGCACTAATTAAGTTCCTTTAAAGCATGAAGAAAGCACAGTGGTGGTTTGACAGGGCATGCTGCTCGATGTTGCCACCCCTGCCTGCCTGAGGCAGCCATCCTCTCCTCTCCTCTGAGTACTTCTGCCTGCTTCCTATACCTGGGGCAGCTAATGCTTCTTTCCTTTTCATTCCATCACATCTTTGAACACAGCACAGCAAGCTGCACATACCTGATAAGGCTCCCCAAATTCTCCTGAGAGTTATCTTCTGAGAAGTCAGGAAACTCTTTTGGCCATGCTTGGCTTTCTGCACTATGTGTGCACAGACCAGGGGAAGAAGGGATGGAAAGTTAGCTGCTTTGGTGTGGGCAATGAAGACATAGAAGAGGAGGCAGCAAGGCAGGGATGTCGATAGCACTGGAGATTGCCAAGACATGTAATCTGCCACCTGAGAGCACCAATTTATCTCCCATAATTATAGAGCGGGGCCGTACTAAACTGCAAGACTA